TATCAGGCTGAGTGAAGTCAGAAGGAAGGAGGCAGGTACAGAATGATCTCTCTTATACATGGAATTTAAAGATACACAGTAACAATGGCCAAAGGCAACAGAACTAAAGAGTTAGCCCACAGAATTGAGTTTATGGGAGAGTGGAATGGGTGAGGCAGTTGATACCCCAATGGAGGGAAGTGGATACCCTGGTGATGAGTCTGGTTTTCAAATGAGGTATGCATGAATCTCTTATTAACAGTGCGGCAGCTCACAGTACCTCAGCCAATATTAGCTCACACCACTACTACCTCAGGGAAGAATAAAACAAAAACAAGTTTTAAGAAAGTCAGAGACAAAACATTTGTCTTAATAACCATCCTCCAACCTAGGCTTACAGTAGTGGAGACATAGCAAAAAAAAAAAAAAAAATATATATATATATATATATATATATATATATATCAGTTTCAGAGGGAAGAGAAGGGAGACAATTTCTGGAAGTATATCTCAAGGGTGCAAAAAAAAAAAAAAAAAGCACAATAGAAATGACATCTGCACCTGTATGTTCACTGCAGCACTGTTCACAATAGCCAGAATCTGGAAACCACCCAAGTGCCCAAGAACAGACAACTGGTTAAAGAAACTTTGGCACATCTACACGTGCCCAAGAACAGATAACTGGTTAAAGAAACTTTGGCACATCTACACAATGGAATACTATGCAGCTGTTGGAAGAGATGAAGTCATGAAATTTGCTTATAAGTGGATGGTTATGGAGAGTATCACGCTAAGTGAAACGAGTCAGAAAGAGATGGACAGACATAGAAGGACTGTACTCATTTGAAGAATATAAAATAACATGAGACTGACACCCAAGGACAGTAGAGGCAAGGGCCAGGAATATTGTTCCATGGTTGGAAGCCTGTCTCATGAGCTGAGGGAGAAGGCAGCTGGAATAGAAAAGGGATCACTTAAGTCAATGATGGTTGGAGGGATCGCTCAGGATGGGAGTTGTGTGCTGAAAGTAGATAAAGGACCAAACGTGAAAGCTTCTCAGTATCTGTACTGCAAACCATAATGCCCAAAAGTAGAGAATATGGGGGAAATTATCTGCCATAGAGGCAGGGGGAGAGGTGGGATGGGGGTGGTGGGAGGGCTACTGAGGACATTGGTGGTAGAAAATATGCGCTGGTGGAGGGATGGGTGTCCATCACTATATGTCACGGTCACGATCCTCCCGTTGTTCATCGATTTGCTCTAGCGGGCCCAGTAACGTCTCCATCATGAGACCTGTTGTTACTGTGTTTGGCATATCGAATACATCACGGGTAGCTTGCCAGGCTCTGCCATGCAGGCGAGATACTCTCGGTAGCTTGCCGGGCTCTCCGAGAGGAGAGAGGAGTCGAACTCGGGTTGGCCATGTTTGTAAGGCAAACGCACTGAAACTCAAACATGAAAGCTTTATAACTGTATCTCAGTGATTCAAAAAAAAAAAAAAATTAAAAAAGAAGAGAGGGGCTGGAGCAATAGCACAGTGCGTAGGCATTTGCCTTGCATGCGGCCAACCCGGGTTCAATTCCCTGCATCCTATACGGTCCCCTGAGCACCGCCAGGAGTAATTCCTGAGTGCAGAGCCAAGAGTAACCCTTGAGCATCGCTGGGTATGACCCAAATAGCAAAATAATAATAAAATAAAGTAAAAGTAAAGTAAAGGCCCTCCCGTTGATCATTGATTTGCTCGAGCGGGCCCAGTAACGTCTCCATTGGAGACTTTGTTGTTACTGTGGCATATCGAATACTCTCGGTAGCTTGCCGGGCTCTCCAAGAAATAATAAAATAATAATAATAATAATAATAATAATAATGGAGAGTAAAGAGTTACGTTTAAAAAACCATTGAGGGTGAAAGAGGAAGAAGACAAGGAAGGGAAGCAACACAGGAGCAGGGGCTAAAGGCCTGCATATGTCAGCAATGTGCGAGAGCGGGCAAGCAGTGTATCCAAACCGGAGTCGACATTGAAAGCACGAGAGCCAAATCACAACCAACTTTACAATGTGCCTGTCAAGGTGGCAGTTTGGCACACAGGGACCAAGGGGAGAGAGGAAACTTGGGAACACCAGGGCAGGGAGGTAGACACTGGTGGTGCCATTGATGCTACAACGTGAAAGGTCTGAAACTCAACTACCAAGAATTTTGCAAATCATGGTTCTTCCATTTTATTCTTTCTGGTCATGAGGTGCCGCAGGAGGGGTGAGTAGTTTGCCAAGATCAGTCCCAGGGCCTGAGCAAGCAAGGCATGTGCTCTGCCACCAAGTCACATCTGCGGTGGCCATAGTCCTTAATCTAAGGACCATTTTTTCCCACAAAGTTGCTCTTGAGTGAATTCGCTGACTCCATAGGAGCCACAGTTAACTCTGAGCACGAAACTATTTTTTTTTCTTTTTGGGTCACACACAGCAATGCACAGGGATTACTTCTGGCTCATGCACTCAGGAATTACTCCTGGCGGTGCTCGGGGGACCATATGGGATGGTCGGAATCGAACCCGGGTCAGCCACGTACAAGGCAAATGCCCCACTCACTGTGCTATGGCTACTGCCCCTCTGAGGAGTAAACTTTATGGAAGCTGCTCAAAGAAGTTCCAAGAGCAACTTTTTCTTCTTTTCTCCAGAACATGTGGATGCTGGCATCTCAACTGTGTTAATGAAGCCACAGTCGCAACTGAGCCACCAGGAGTAGAGACCCAACTCAGTGTTGGTGGATTTTTTTCTTTTGGTATCTGGTATGTACCCATTTGTATTGCACAAAGCTCAGGGCTTATTCCTGGCTCTGAGCTCAGGGATCACTCCTGGTGGGCTTGTGGTACCAAGGACCAAAGGCAGGTGAGGTGCACGTGAGACGAGCACCTCACATGCTGTTCTCTCTCTCTACCCCAGTGGTTGACTTTTAAGTGTAACTATAAGATGACTTTGCAATGAACGTTCATACATCTACAACTTGATCAGAACTGTCTATAAGAACTGAAGGCAACTTGCCCCGTAAAGATCAGGTGGATTTCCATAACAAATCCATGTTAACTATAGCGTGAAGCAGCGGTTTTCAACGCCTGGTCTATAAGCCCAGGCAGATCTGCTTAAAAAAGTTACTGCCATTTAACTGATATTGATTTTCAATCAACAGTGCATGTTCTGTTGCCAGTCCACCGTTTAAGGAACCAGATGACACTCTAAGGCAAAGAAGTGGCCAAATCATGCCCCAAAACTATACTGCTCAAAGGCGGCCCAAGGCACATGAGGCTATCTAGATTCAGACCAAATTAAGCAGTATTGGGGGGGGGGGGGGGGGAAGGGGTCACACAGCACCAATTACACTATTTATTTCACACTTAAGTATAAAGTCACAATTGGACATGATTTATTATCACAAACTTACTACAGTAAACAGAAGTATGTTGAGCTGCACTGCAAAGCAGGTAAGGCGCTTGTCTTCTATGTAGCCAAGCTGGGTTCGATCCCCAGCACCCCACCAGGTCCCTGGTGCCCCATCAGGACAAGTCCTGAGCACTACTGGGTGTAGCCCAAAAACAAAAACAAAAAATGTTTCAACCTAAATTGGCATATTAATTGACCTAAGTGTCCACTTTATTAATTTGTCTAAGCTTTCTATGTTTGAATTTTTTCATACATTTGGGAAGGTTTTTTTTAATTAAATTTGGGCTACAAATTGAATTAAATTCATCTCTAGTGTTCAGTAACCACAAGTAGCAGCTCATGGCGACCCTACTGGAAAGCACAGATAGAAAACACTTCTACTAATGCCCATGTTACTGGACTATATCACCCTGGAGTTTTTGTCTTCCGAGATAAAATCAGTCCTGACTGGTTCCTGGTGAAGGCGGACCTTTAAGTGTACAGCTTCTGTTCCAGAGCAACAGCACTGTGGGCAAGGCATTTGTTTTGCACAAAGCCTACCCAGGTTTCATCCCTGGTATCCCATATAGTCCCCCAAGCAGTGCCAGGAGTGATCACCGAGTACTGAGCCAGGAGTAAGCCCTGAGCACAGCCAGGTGTGACCCAAAAACAAATGAACAACAACAAAAAGAAAAAATCTGTGAGTTCAGACAGAGGGGGAAAAAATACTAGCAAAATGACGTAAGTACTGAAAAACCAAAACAATATGTGTGTGTGTACAGTTACATACACACACATATAAAAACACAACATATCACACATCTATGTTTGCATAAATTTTAAGTAATTAGTAAAGCTGAGAACTCATTAATTCACACAGATACTATTAGATAAAAGGACCAATAGCACAGCGGGTAGGGCGTTTGCCTTACACGTGACTGACCCGGGTTCAATTCTTCCGTCCCTCTCAGAGAGCCCGGCAAGCTACCAAGAGTATCTCACACACACGGCAATGCCTGGCAAGCTCCCCGTGATGTATTCGATATGCCAAAAACAGTAACAACAAGTCTCACAATTGTTGTGAGATGCTACTGGTACCCACTTGAGCAAATCGATTAACAACAGGAGGACAGTGCTACAGTGCAACTAACTACTCTTATAATCTTTTAGGAAATCACAGTCCAGACTAAACAATATTCAAAAGTAAATGAATCCTCAAGGGTCTATGGTTAATGTAAAAGCAAACAATTTAGAATCTTTCAATCTCAGCAGGCATAGAAAAAATAAGAAAAAATCTGTAACCGTCTTTAATGGATAGAAATTTGACTATATAATTCTAGCTGAAGGAAAACCTGTCAGACGCTGCAGCTGCTAAAACAATTTTTAATTACCTTTAAGTGAATCACAGAAAGGATGGATAGTGTGGCGAGCAGGACTCTTGCCTTGCAACACCACATATGGGCCCTTCATTCCCTGGCACTATATGGTCCCTTGAGCACCACCAAGAGTGATCCCTATGCACAGCCAGGTGTGGCTCCAAAACCAAGAACATTTGTAAAATAAATGAATCACAAAATTGTTCCTTGAAAAACAAAGCACTCAATTCAATTCAGTTCAGCAACTGATGTGCTTTATTGGAATAAAATTTCAACAAAAGCTGACTTTTATTTACAGAATCCGACACACATGGGAACCATCAAACTCAACTGGACCCAAATGAAGGTAACCATGAAATTCCCCTACGAGGTTCCTTAGTTGCAGTTTGCATACAAAAGAAGGTGTGTGTTTTACTTTCACAAAAATCTGACGACTGTAAAAGACATACCCCTTCTTACCCACCCCGAAGTTAAATACAAAAATTTCCAAAAACATACAGTTTAGATAGGCTTGATCTTGAAATGTAATCCAATAAGACTAAAAACTAAACATTTCAGGTCCTGTACCAAATAGTAAAATACTCGAAGACCTTCAGGATCCCTGTAATTCAAAAAAGAAAAAGTTAATGTTAAGAAAACTGAAACAACATTAATAATTTCTTGCAAGCTATTTCTTACATAAACCTGAAATAATTAAAGGAACTCAACAGAAAGGAAGAATTTTCTGGTAATAGCAAAGCATATTGTTATTTCTGTATAGAACAAAAACTCAAACTTCACCAGCACTCATGTCATAGTTCGAATTTTTAAAGAAAAACAGTACCTGTTCTGTCATATAATGTTTTCATCGATTAACAATGATTATATTTTTTCCACAAATGAAATAATTCTGTGTTCTTTTTAACATTAGCTTTTCCATTACATTTAAAAAAAAAAGGTACTAATACTTTTAACAATTCTGTTAACATTGGGATATTTATTGAATGACAGAAAAGACTTCAATGTCCTTTTCTGTAAATAAAACTTTTTGAGACTACTTCCCCAGAATAAATGTTTGGAAATGAACTAACCCAAACAAAGAAGAATGAAGAATGAAAACTATTAACGGCTTTTGATGCATATTATCAAGTTATTTTCTAGAAAACAATGGACCATTTTACAACTCTAGTGGAGTATGAAGTCATATCCTCACCAGTTACTTTTCAGAAGCCTTTCTAAATACGGTCACGGTCATGGTCCTCCCGTTGTTCATCAATTTGCTCGAGCGGGCCCAGTAACGTCTCCATCATGAGACCTGTTGTTACTGTGTTTGGCATATTGAATACATCACGGGTAGCTTGCCAGGCTCTGCCTTTCTAAATACGGTCCTTTATAATCAACGAGCCATTATGCATTCTTTCTTTCCCCCTTGCCTCTAATAAATATTCGTAAGACCCCTATTATATGGTAGGCACAATACTAACTTTAGCCCTTAGGGCCAGGCACTCACGGAGAACATTCAGACAGCCCAGGGACAAGAAAGGCACTACATTTTAGGGTAACATGAGGAAGAGCACTATGAGAACATTCTGAAGGAAGCCAGTACAAAGAAATTCCAGGTGGCAGAGAAATTTCCCAGACCAAGACCAAAGAATGTGCTACAGACATTTAAAGCCTGAAAGACATAGCACTGAAGTTCACATTTCAATCCTGGATTTTCCCCCATTTCTTTCAAGTATGAAACCCAAATATAAGAGTAATGTGATGTGGAAGAAATAAGATCGGCCTATCCATATTTTTGCAAAAAAAAAAAAAAAAGGTAATAAAATGTGGACCGATCATGAACGATCGGTTTGAGGCTCTTTGTGTTCCTAGAATGAACAGACGCCATTGGGCTACACTAGCACGCAACAGGGACAAATGGACACGTTACTGGCGCCTGCTCGAGCACATCGACGATTAACGGGAAGTCAAGTGATCAAGTGAAAATGTGGACACTGTTTTACATAATTGTCAGATGAAGAATTTTTTTCTTATTTTGGTAATTGGTAAACTACGCTGTTTTTCTGGTAACAAATCTTTTTTTTTTTTTACTATCTCTCTCTTTTTTTATTTTTTTTTTATAATTTATTTATTTATTGAATCACTGTGGGAAAAGTTACAGAGCTTTCGGGTTTAGGTCTCAGTCATGTAAATATCAAACACATTTCCCTTTACCAATACTTATTTTTAACCCCGAACCCCAATAGACCCCCGCCTCCCACCCCTCCCAATTCTTGTGAGGCAGATGAGTTCTAGTTAATACTCTATCTACTTTGACTAGATAGATTGTTTCGATAGAAGATGCACCATTATTGTTTAGAGTTTACGACCCACCCCCCACAATCAGACATGCTGAAACAGCGTTGTGAAATGATTTGCTTTCTACAACTTGGTTTAAGAATAAAATGATGTTTTGAATTTCTGCTATTTTACTTATTGACCCTGGAAGAATTTCTATTAAAAGTTAGATAGGAGATTGGTTTCTGTGCCCTGGAGTCGTGGCCGTGCCGGGGAGCCACTCGTGGGGGGCAGCTGGCGACCTCGGTGGGGCGTGGGGGACGGCCCACAAAGCCCCCCTTCCCATGAGGTCCCTGCCGCTCTCGCCCACCCCGGCTCAAACCGGCTGTCCACAAGGCTCCCGTGCGGCCGCCATCTTTCTTTCCAGAGCTGGTAACAAATCTTTAGAAACTGAAAAGTCAAGGCGAGGTAGTCGCCACGCACAGGGCTCAGCACTGCCCCAGTTTGTGTCTCCTGAGCACAGCCACGGGCAGTATCTGTCCCCAGCACTTCCCCAGCAGTATCACACTGCCAGGCCCCATCACCACACTGCCCAGTCTGGTGAGCCAATGTGGCTGGAGGTCCCCTGAACATCACTGGGAGGTTGCCCCGACCCCCACTTAAAAGCGCCAGAGACAGTACAGGGGTAAGGTGCTTGCCTTGTACCCAGTCACCCTTGGTTAGAGACCCCAAGTACCACCAGGAATGATTCCTGAGCACAGAGCCAGGTGCCAGCCCTAAGCACCACAAGGTGTGGCCCAGTCCACCTCCCCCCTACAAAAAAATCAGTTACATCTGCTTAATAAACAGGATGATACCGAAATAATGATAATAAACTGATGGTGGTTCTGAAACGAGTCCTTCCAACACAGTAAATCAAATAAGTTCGAATATTTTAACAGACTTACTTAGACTGATTTACATCAATAAGAGATCCTATTTTTGATGTGGTAAAAGAAATGTGTTCATCTCCAATTACAATTTCAAGCTCCTGAAAAAAAATAAGAGAAACACAGTTATATAAAGGTCCATTCCAGCAGACTTGCTTTCCAAATATCCCAATATCTAAGTTTTCCAGCAGTCACAGAGAAGGAAAATAGAAACATAATCTGTCGAGACATCAACTACATTTAGAAAAGAAAAATTTCCGAGTGCTGAGTGGTCCCCGGTATTGGAACCAGTCAAGAGGTGCTTTGGAGCATTCTCATATGGGCACCATGCAGTGCATGACGGACGCAGGAGGGACACAGGAAAACTTAATAGGGTCAGTAAAAATGAAAGTAGCTTTGAAGCACGATGCTGTACAAATAACTTGGATATAAGATGGATTTTAACGTAAGACAAGCACATCTGTCATTTCTAACAGGCTCTCATTACAGCACCCCTTTAGCACCTGCTGGTGTCAGTTCCTGAAGTCAGGGGAGTTTTAGTCTCCATAATCTCTGCAGTATCTTTATCACAAAGCTTAAGACAGTCCTAACTTTGCTAGAAATAAAGTCCATGGCCCATAAAACACTACGAAAAGTTTGTGGATACTTATGCCACTAACCCCAGGGGGCACTGCTATAAAAATCTGAGCGTGAAACTCCTACTCTTTTTTATCTTCACAAAGCAATTAAGTTGAAAAACTAGTAAAAGAAATATAGCATAACAAAGAGGTTCCTAGTTGCACGATTATCGAACAAACTGTTAACTGTATTCTTATCTGCAATATAAAATTAATGACTAATAAAATTCTTGACATGTGTTAAAAAAAATAATAAAAATGAAGCCAATGACTAGAATGTCATGTTGTAAGGAGTTTTCACACTTAATTAACAGGAGCTAGAAATGTGTTTATGTGATTTGTGGCATACGGAAAACAGAACTAACTGAGGCACTCAGTCATGAAAATTTTGACGTAGAGATCCAATCGACAATTTTTCATATGCCTAATCCTCCCCCATTAACTAGGACACATAAACATGTCAAAGTGAGCAGATAAAAACCTGGACTTTGAGTCTAAAGGGAAAAAAAGAAGGCATGTTACTATTGATTGCTTTTTAGTACTTGGTATATTTGCACATATGTATTAAACAAGATCAAAATCAACTTTTCAAAAGTGCTTATAATGCATAAAAAAATACTGTTAACTATTACCTTTGCTTTCCGAAATAATGTTTCTTTAAATAGAAGAGTTAAGTTAATTAATACAGAGCGTCAGCATCTGTTAGATTTCTCCACATTTTCTTCTAGTCAAAGAAAGTGATAGAAAGTACAATCCTCAGGAATACACAAAAGTGAAATTTAACGTTTCTTCCACCAGGGGTCATATCTCATTTCTCCAAGAGTTGAAGGACCCAATTCAGAACTCAACTGTCTCTCTAGAGTGAACTAGGCCTTCAGAGCTCTTCAGAAGCCTTTTGGGAAACACCAATTATTCTGAAGGGAACATGAGAAGCAAAGGCACTTGTCAGTTTGAACAAAGAAACCCATGAAATCCTCTCTAGGGCATAAAGATGCAAATAAGAATCTTCAATTACAAATTTGAAGAGAGTAAATTTTACACAATCATTTAGCACCTTGAACTCTTGAGCTTAACACTTGTATTTATTCCTTACAAAGAGTGATTAATAGACCACCCAAATTACTCATTAACAGAGTCAAAAACACACAAACTTTGGCTTGGGGTGAGGCACTCAGAAAGACATTTGGGTTAGGTTCCGACTTCTTCAGTACTGGGGAGTAACAGAAAGAGGCCAAGGGAAATAAAATTGATGGATTATTTAATCAGTGGGAATGGCATCCAAAGAAATCGGTAAAGACCTATTCTAAATGAGACCCTTAACAACGGCAGTACCAATTTTTAGTATTTTTGCATTTAAAGAATCACTAAGTACAAACCTGCCGGCCAACCCTGTCAGGGGGAGGCCACAAGGCATCGTCTTCCTTCGTAATTTCACTGTCATCAATGATTCTCTTCAGTTCTTCCATTACACTCTTGTGTACATAAGCCTGAAACGTTTTCACAATTTCACTTACGTTATAAACATAGTTCATGTAAAAAACATAGAAATGCCCCTCTTTCTTCCTACAATGGAGACATGATAAAACAGAAGTACAAACCCTGAATATTCAGACTTGCATAGAAAAATTTAATTCTGATTCCAAAAGCATAAAACTGGAATCACTGACTCTTATTTTTGTTCCATGTCTTGCTTTTTCCTTCAAGATATATCTCTCTCTTCACATTACTAATCCCCCTTTATAAAGTTTTTATAACAGGAGGCTCAAACATCCCATGGTTAATGGGACAAGGCAAAAATCTACAAGGTGACAAGCGCACATCACAGTTATTATTCTGAACTTCTCCTCATCCCTACTTTCATGTCTTTCTTTTAAAATTCATAACATGTTTAAATCACGAAGTTTTAAGTAGTGACTAAAGGCTAAATTATAAAATGAATTAAATTATTACGCTCAAATGTGAATCTGTAACAGTACATTGAGATTACATCTTTGATTGTTATACTACAATTATACCTAAAATTTAAATTAAAACCCTTTCAATCATAAGTTGGCTGCTTTACAAAATAATTGCTTTAGATGTGCTTTTGTACATCTAATAGCACTGTAGCACTGTCCTCCCGTTGTTCATCAATTTGCTCAAGCAGGCCCAGTAATGTTTCCATTGTGAGACTTGTTGTTACTGTGTTTGGCATATCCAATATGTCATGGGTAGCTTGCCAGGCTCTGCCGTGCGGGCGAGATACTCTCGGTAGCTTGCCAGGCTCTCAGAGAGGGGCGGAGGAATCAAACTCAGGTCAGCCTAGTTGGCTGCGTACAAGGCAAACGCCCTACCCACTGTGCGATCGCTCCAGCCCTAATCTAATAATGTAACATCTAATAATAACATTATTAGAAGTTAAATGCTATTATTAGATGTTAAATGTTAGATGCTAACATCTATAATAATATAATATAATATAATATCTAATAATATGAAATATTAAACGTTTTTAAAACTCACCTCTTTTCTGATCATGACATCATTTTTGTAATTGCTGTTGTTGGCATATCTAAGTTTTCCTGTGGGGAGTGGAAAAAAAATCGATCTATAACAGCAAAAAATGTTTTTTAAAAATAAAGAAATAACATCATAAGCAATTATGATATGATTTTACTGATACTTCCTCTTCTTCCTAATATAAGATCAATGCTAGACAATGAGACATTCAAAATTTTGCTAAGTTGGCTAAAGATGAATAAATTTTTTAAAATATTGCATGCCTTCAATATAATTCACTATATATAGGAGAATTCCTTTTAAGGTCCATTTCTTTACGCAATGTCAAGAATTAGACAAGGAATTTGAAAAAGGAATTAGTACTTATTTTGTAGTTTGTTATGTCTGAACTAGTTCTAAGTTATTTACCCAGAATATTGACCTAAGATGTAAGTTTTTATTCTCCACCTATTCACAGTTGAGAAAGCTCACATAAGTGGGCTGGTAAGAGACCAGAGTCACTAAGGTAAATTGCCTCGCCCACAGCAGACACCTTGCAGCAGCAGGAATGATCCCTAAGCACAGGGGCAGGATGATGATCCCTAAGCACAGCCCGCCAGGTGTGGTGCAAACTCACTGCACAATTCCCAATCACCACCCCACAGAGTTAATCTGACACACAAGATGCAAGTCTAGACTACCAAGACCTACTTTCTTCTAAGACTCACATTTCCCGCTGATGTTCTCTTTTCACTATTTCCCTCCACATGAAAGTGTGAATCTAATACGGCCACACAAATATTGTAGAATTGTTACTAGGAAGCAGAGCAATGTTGGTCCTGGATGAGCCTGTCTGTCTAGACTTAAATTTAATCCTCCAGTGAGTTTGTATCATCTTTGATGGGCTGCTCCTCCTTATATTCGGTTTCCAGCCAGTGATTTCCTAGGTGATGATGGAGAATTTCATTGTCTTTCCTTATCCTCCCAAATTAAGCCACTCTGGAGCACTCGCTTACTCTTCCCAGCTTAATTTTATCTGATTGGTGAGCAATGTGGGCTAAACCCATTTAAACAGACACCTGAGATGGAAAGCGCTTTACAGGCCAACACAAATGTCTCGTAAGGACCAAACGGAGAAGCGCAGTAAATTTGATTCGTTAACTACATCTAGAAGACTCTGTAGGAGGGATACAGCTTGATAGTTGCCAGGAGGCAGTCACCCTGTGCTGTGCCTAAAACGTTAGAAACTCTTCCCCGTTTCTAAAATGTGACCTTCCCTACCTTTGTTATTTCGTGTTCTCTCAGAACCTGTCGGAAGCAGGTACACTGCATTTAATGTTTTCGTTTCTTCTCCATCACTTATCAAGCAAGAACCACTTGAAAGAAACTTAAAGAGACTCACAGCTCACTAATGCAGTCTCCGTATCAGTATTCACACGCTGCCTGAGCAAACAATGCGCATTGAAAACGCGGAAAGTCTAGGCCATTGGACAGGATACTTCTTCTGGCAATGAAATAAATCCGCTGCACAGGACCTGGGCCCTGGCAAGTTCCCCCCTCACCCTCTTCAGACCCCTGCAACCTCGCTCCTTTGCTTCCTCGGAAGTGAAAAAAGCGGCTCCCCTCCGTGCAAGACGCGACCCAGGAGCATAACTGGCACGTTCCCACGGGGATGCTCTGCCCGGATTCCCGCGTGCAGAACTAACCACTCCCCCTTGCGACGAGCATCAACGAGCATCCCAAAGATCCGGAAGCGCGGACGCCCATCACTCATTGTTCTGCACGCCGCCGGGAGCCTTCCCCGCAGAAAGGGGTCGCTTTCTGGGGTCGCTTTCTGCTTTTTTCTGGACGCGCACCCCGCATGAGTGAGGCGCAGGCCGAAGGCTCCCGAAGCAGCCGCGGGACTCACGCGTGTGTTTGCAAAATTTCGAGTATTAGCCTCAACAAACGAGACAGCCTCGGAGGGTTCCCCCCCACCCCAAGCCGGGATTCCGATCCCCGTGGGTACCAATTTCTCAGCATCCGGCCTGAGGACACGCACTCGTCCTCCCGCCCCGACTCCCACATCCCCGAGTTCCCGCGCGCGCGCACCCTGGGCCCCTGCCCTGCTCACCGTCCGGCCGAAACTCGAACTCCAAGAACTCGTGTCCGAATTTGCCCTTGTGCCCCACGTAGTAGCGCAGGTAGAAGTCACTGGCCATAGCCATGGTGGCCCCCCGGAAAGCCCGCCCAAGGCCCGGCCAACGTGCGCGCGGCGCCGGGCAGTGACGTCACGGCGCAGGAGAAATGCGTCAGCGCGGGTGTTTGGGCGTTGGGTTTTTTTTTTCCCTTGCCACCCAGTGCCCCGAGGAAGCCGGAAGCGGAAGTCCCGAGAGCGAGAGAAGGACCGCGGCGGAGGTGTAAGCGCGGTCTTAGTGCGATCTGGGGCGAAGTGCGTTTTTTTCAAGCCGCAAAGCACGGAAGTGTGAAACGACGATCGCTTATGGGTTTAGGTTTGCGAGCCGCTTTGAATCTTTGGGGCTTGTAAATATCGCGAGATCCCGTGGGCTGGGTGTGGCCTAGATAGAGAGACACACAGGCAGTTGTGCTATGGATTTCCCTCTGGTGCACACGCTTGTGCGCTGCTGCATTCATTCCCCAAAAGTTAACCACACACACACACATATCCTTGGCAATCGTGCTATGGATTTCCCTTTGGTACACATGCTGGTACGCTGCTTCATTCATTCCTCAAGAGTTAACCTTTCCCACCTATTCAAACTGCTAACCTAGGGTTTAAATGGGTTTAGCCCACATTGCTCACCAACCAGATAAAATTAAGCCGGGGAGAGTAAGCGAGTACTCCAGAGTGGCATAATTTGGGAGGATATGGCAAGACAAGTTGAGTTTTTGACCAATACAATAATATGAGATGATCTTTAACCCTCAGTGGATTTAGTAGAAAGCCAAGACCCAGAGACTATAAAACCCAGCTCCCGGAAGCCCGCGCAGCCGCATTTGCAGCAGTGCAACGTCTTATTATCTCATTCTTACTTTGGACAACCTGGCAGGCTACCAAATGTAACCTGACCACACGGCAGAGTCTGGCAAACTCCCCGTGGCGTACCCTATATGCCAAATACCAGTAATAATGATGGGCCTCATTCTCCTAACCCTGAAAGAGCCTTGAATATGGCACTTTTTAAAATCTCAGGGCTAGGACGAAGGAGATGTTACTGGGGCCTGCTGGAGGCAATCGACAAACAACAGGATGATCGTGATCGTGATGCCCAGTCTGAAGACCTGGGATTCATTCCCAGCAACTTCTCTTTAATCACACCACTCTAACCTAGTCTGTTCAACAACCATATTGGGTGTACTAAATCAGCTTTATCATCGCACAGGATTGCTGAGATCAAATGAGATTTGTAGGATGACATTGCTATGTCCTTCCTCCACAAGGAGCTTAGGTTTATCTGGTTACACCCATTACAGTGCTCCTGAGGCACTTCCATTCCATTGTGTTTATCTGTAAACATTCTTCCCTATGCTCTACTCCCCAACCAGTTAATCAGCTTTCCCCCTCATCAGACTCTGTTAACTTGTAAGGTTAGATTCCTCAGAAATCTATGATTTTATATGTATCAGTGAAATACTGCCTTTCTCCTCCCCTTATGCCTTATGAACAGTTTACTTTAAAGCAATGCCCTTTTTGTATAGATACAGGAAGAGCGTTAACATTATGCTTTGTAACTTAGGATTTAATTGGCTTTGAATATTATTCACTCCCGGGCATCTGCTTTCTCAACTTAAGCCTCAGTTGCCCTTAGTTCCTAACACCCCAAAAGCAGGGTCCCAACGAGGGACTGAATGAACCCAGGGCAAGTGGTGAGCTACCCTGACATCGAAATGGGCCAGGCCAAAGTGCCACGATTCTTAACTATAAGTTAAGAGCTTGATCATAGACAAATGCTGTCATGATCCAAAAGTAACGACGAGACTAGGATCCTGCTAGGGGTGGGAAAGACTATCTGGCCTGAGTACTATAGTCTGAGATTGAGATGGCCCTAGGAGGGCAATTCTGTAAGTTTAAGATATTTCTTACTGTATTCATACAAAATGATTTATATATGCTTATATGCTTGTCGGACAAGGAGAGGAGAAACACACCCATGGGATTCTGCTCTAGGGTGGGTCATCCTACTGAGAGAGGATCTGTCCTAAGAGCAGCTTTTCCTGAGGGAAATAATTCTACCCCTAGTGATTGTGACCACACCTATGTGTAATTGTTACCCCAACCCCTAGGCTTTGGGATTTAACTGTACTATAAGAGTGGGCTGGGGGATCAGAAGGAGGAGAAAGGAGATCAGGATCAGAATCCAGACTTCAGAGAAGGAGGATGAAGGGGGATGAAATAGGAGAATGAAGTAGCATGGGGGAGGAAGAGGCAGGAGGCAAAGGCAGAGGAGAGAGACTGGAGTGGATGGAGAGAGGATTGGAATAAACTGCGACTAAGACCAACCAGCCTGGCCCTCGTTCCTTCCCTTGCCTGCCCATCGCTATCGACCTCCCCGGGGTGGGGGAAGAAGGGTAAGACTACTGAACGCGGGTGGTGGGAGAGATAGAGCCACCGCCACTGTGCTGTGCCCCCTTTTTTGAGTTTACACAGAGATTCACTGTCACTGTCACTGTCCTCCCATTGTTTATCGATTTGCTCGAGCAGGCCCAGTAACGTCTCCATTTTGAGACTTGTTGTTATTGTGTTTGGCATATCGAATACGTCACGGGGAGCTTGCCAATCTTTGCTGTGCGGGTGAGATACTCCCGGTAGCTTGCTGGGCTCTCCAAGAGGGGTGGGAGAATCGAACCCAGCTCGGCCGGGCTGGCTGAGTGCAAGGCAAACGCCTCACCGCTGTGCTATCACTCCAGCCCCAAATGAGATTATGCCTGTTAAATTTTCTAATGTATAAAGCATTATATAGTGAGTTTTCTTACGCACTTTCCATATGCCTGATATAATTAAACTGTGGCAATAAAAGCCCTTTGCTCTTAGGTCAAGTTTGCAAAGAAAGTAATGGTAGATAAATATTAACTCAGGCAGAGACAGGGAAGGCACGAGGCAGGGGGAGCAATTACTATGTTTCCTTTCATGCTGATAGAACATGTACAGGAAGCAAGTCACTTTGTGGGGCAACGGAGGGTACCGGAAGAAAGCTGATGAAAAACTATGAGGGAAGGCTTATGACATTGCATTGGACGTTATGTATGCTCTTTGCATTGGACCTTGTACTTCAGTATATGTTGTAGCAATGGAAAAGCAGTTAAGGCAGAAAATGCCCGAAGAAAGGCAGTTTAGTGGAATAATCCATATTTGGGAAAAGCCAAGTAATTGAGTATAGTTAGAACATAAGGGAGTGATATGATTAGAAAAATCAAGTCATGGTGACTTTATATTAGCAACTGTATAACTTAGAAATTTGTGTTAATATTTGTTTAACCTTAGTCCCTATTATAGACAGCCATATGAGCAGTATGTAAGAAACATGAAGCTCCCTTACCACCAGCTGAGGAAACATTCCTGTTTGCTAGCATGAGACGTTTCCTAGGATGTGGGACTTTTGAACCTAGAAAGTCGCCAACAAACTGGAATGAGATAGACACTAAAAAGAATAACCTACAAAAATATAACCCCATTAGTCCATAATATGTCTAAAAATATAGGCAACAGATTATTTGTTTGTTGTAAGGATACCCCATTTAATGTCTTTACATCCTTAAATGTCTCATTTCTTCTTTCAGATTTGGGGTACATATGACAGTTTCATCTTGCTTATGTAAAAAGACATGAAAGTAACAGAACTGTGACTGTATAGTTTATGGAATGCAGTGTTCAGATCTTTACCTGTGGGCCTGTTAACTATATAAAGATTTCTAAGCTGAAGATTAATCCTCTTGGGGACGGGAACAATGTATGGTGGGAGGATGTTTGCCTTGCACATGGCCAGTCTGGGTTCAATCTGCGACATCCCTTATAGTTCCCCTGAGCACTGCCAGTGTAGAGCCAGGAGTAACCCTTGAGCATTCCCAAGTGTGACCCCCCCCAAAAGAAATTAGTCCTCTCCCAGTCTGTTTTTCATATGAAATATCAAAATATTTCTTACTTAATCCTTCATCTATTTTGCACCCCTGAAATGTCAAATTGGGCATTTTATCACTTTATACCCAAGTGATAAAACATTTGTGTCTTGAAGTCTTCTAACCAAGAGGTGTGGAAATGTTCTGAATGGCTACTGAGCACCTTAAGCGTTGCTGATACAACAGAAGAACTGACTTTTGTTTCCATGAAAAAATAATGTTTTATGTTGAATAGAGATGTTAAGTTGAATGGAGAGGTTATGTTAAAAAGAATCTTCTTGTAGGCCTTTACTTGGGCTGGAAATAACGTAAATATTATTATGAAAGCACTAAAAATGTCCCTCTCCATTACTGTAAGTTGCAGATTAGGGCACATTTATTGGTATGACCACAATTTATTTATAAAGATAAGCCTTTCAGCAGTTTAAATAAGTGAAGCCAAATAAAGAACTCATTCTACTTTTGCTAATGCAAAACACCTCCTTTGTGAAACATAAAAGAAATAACCATTTTAGGAGGCTGGAGTAATAGTACAGAGGGTAGGGCATTTGCCTCGCACACGGCTGACCTGGGTTCTATTCCCAGCATCCCGTATGGTCCCCCGAACACCACCAGGAGTAATTCCTGAGTGCAGAGCCAGGATAACCCCTGAGCATAGCCGGGTGTGACCCAAAAGAGCAAAAACAAATAAATAAAAGAAAAAAGAAATAACCATTTTATTCCAAATTACAGCCAAAATTATGACTTAAGAGTTTTACTCAAATGCACAATATCCGTTTAGTGGGAAAATAACTTTTGACTGAAGTTTTGTAAAGATTATTGCTTTCATCTTTCTGTTTATGAATTGAGCTACAGGGTTGTGCTCAGACATGATCTTTCTTAGAGTTGTGAGGGGTTTTGGAATGTTCTGCTATTTTTTCTCACATCTACAGTTTTTTCTTCTTTTGATCTCTTGTGCCTTTCCTGTCCTCACACCTCTTTTTGCCTTTTGCTTTCCTGTTTTAAAATCATCAAATATTCCTACTTCCTACTTAGAGCATATTTTCAAAAATATATTCTTAACTTCTCTGATGAATACTAGAGAAAATACTTTTTGTTTCATCTTTAAAGTAGTATTTGAATAATTTCGAGTTTACATTTACCTAATAAAAACTCAGGAGCAATTAATTACATTAAACGGGTCAGACTAATGAATCAAAAACATATCTATATTATAAAACATCAAAGGTAATTTAAATTTGTAATTTATTTTATTCACCCACTATTTTCTTCTTTAGACTTCTTTGTGGAATTTTAGCTGTGTATATGTTTTGTTTTGTTTTTCCTCCTTCTTTTATTGAATCACTGTGAGGTACACAGTTTCAAAGTACGTCATGATTGAAACTGTATCCAACACCCATTCCTTCACCAATGTGCATTTCCCACCACTATTTTCTTCCATGGACTCTGGAATTTTAGCTATGTATATATTTTTTAATTACCAGTGCACTTATATTTTTAATAAACGTCACCGATATGCAGAAACACCAAAATATTTATACATTTGTTCCTCAAATATTTTCCTTTAGAAGATATATTCCTTGAGCATACATTCATGTAGGGAGCTATGGCTAGACATATTATAATATGATGATATATTTTATTCCATGTTCAAACTGGTCATCTTAACAACACGTAAACAGTCACCTAGACTGTGCAAAATAAACTATCTTCCCACTCTTACACTGTATTTACACATACTTACTTATGTGAGTTATGGTAAGGCAAGAAAACTAATAAAAACCATTACAGCAAAGTAAGATTAAGATTATATTCACTTGCTTACATTTCACTCTATAAGCTTGAAAATAGTGAGAAATTTTTAAGTATTCCATTCTAAAGTTTAGTATTCCATTCTAATAGTATTGCATTCTAAATCTACTCGAACCCAACTAGTGCTGTGTGTCAGCATTATTTGAGAACCCTAGTTCATACTATTCTCAAGCCGCACTGGCAAGTTTCAGGCAGACACTGTATCCAGGTACGTTTGCTCAGTTTGTAACTGCATTGGAACCTTTTGTTTAACAAAAGCACAGATTGGAAAAATTTGATTGCGGAAGAGATCAAAGCATTAAATTAGACCTACCTTGGATTAAGTTGATAAAATAGTAAGTTTGTTCTCATTTCCATTTATTAGTTTTGAAATACCTGATTTCCTTGATAGATTAGAATCTAGAAATATTTGAGAAAAGCTTGGCAACATCCAAGAAAGACCCAGTTCCCTAATCAACGACTGCACCATTTTCTTTATCCAGAAAAATAAATAAAATGATGGATAAAAAATTTATGTTGTGGTTGTTTTATGTGTGGTATAGGTGTTACTACATTCACAATCAAAAGATCGTTCTCATATGAGGGATCCAAAGAATCTTCGTAAAGAAACAGGGCCTGAGTGATAGTACAGTGGGGAGGGCGTTTGCCTTGCATGCAGCTGATCTGGGTTCAATCCCCAGCATCCAATATGATCCCCCAATCAATACCAGAAGTAATCTGAGTGCAGAGCCAAGAGTAACCCTTGAGCATTACCAGGTGTGATCCCAAAAGTAAAAAATATATATATGTATATATATATATATTAAAGGAACAACTAAAGGTCAAAGACATCAGAACTGGAATTTCATCTACAGAACTGAGCTCATTTAGGTGGGTGGGATAGTGGAAGGGGTCCTTGGGACAGAGAAGGGGGAAATCTGGGACTCTGGTGCTGAGTGTGGTATTGGGATGATGTATGTGCAGAAGTTTCATTTGCAGTAAAAATCACAGTAACCAATGAAAACTGTAAACAATCAATAGTAACTACTTACTTCTTCCCCTACTACTAAATACAAAGGTACAGCCTGAAAAAGCAGTGTTTCTCATTGTGTGCCAGCTCCCTCTCAACTCAGTTCCTCCCTTACTCTTGCATGCTTGCAGTTCCTCAAACTGCTTTCTTTTGTCTCCGAATTTTCCTTTATAAAGTCTCTTGGAAGGCTCGTATTTTGTAAAATTTTGATCCATCCCTCTGGTTTTCACTTAAATGCCTCCTCCCTCCCACCTTCCCCCCCACTGTCCCTCCTTCCCAGTAGAGGTCCTTATTTGATACTCTCTTCTGTCATCCTATAGGCTTTTCTCTGTACGTTTGAAAAAAATTTGTATTTAATGAAATCCTCCCCTACACAAAGTTCCTTACTTTCTAGACTATAAGCCAAAGCTCCGGGTGGTTTTGGTTTTGAACTGTGCCTAACAGAATATCTGACATATCCAACCTGAACACTCCCATTTTTCCTAATGTTTGAATAAATAAATGTTTTGTAACAGTTTGTGCCAGCCCGCATTCCCTCCCTTCTCCACACAACACTGAGACCCAGTTAAGCTCTGGTTAGTCACTGTGGTCCTCCACAGGGGCCTGAGTCATTTGGTGGGTGACTCATGACTCCATCAGGAGTCTGTTCTGGATGGAGTTTCAATTTTCCAATCCTCTCCTATCGCAGAGAGCTCAGACTAAGCGCTGCTTAAAATCCTAGATCACCATGCTCCACCACATCCTCATCAATATTTTTGATATTTGGGAAACACAGAGGAATTAGTAGTATCAGCCCACACAAAAATGCTGCCTCCCCCAAGTGATAATCACTGTCCCATAGCATCGTCTTTAGGGTGGGCCAGCTTTGCAGTGTCTGCCATATCCAGCTCCCTTCGGGGCTCAGATTTTAAATGAGACACATGAAGCATTCTAGGCCAGAGAGGGGGGAAAACAATCATTTATTGAGCACATACTGAGCTGCATTTGTCAAGTAGTGTACCAGTACTTTCTCATTCAACCCTCACTCCACCCATGAAGTGGGCATCACCCCATTTTACCCATGAGGAATCCCTTTTCTGACCAAGTAGATTGCCACCAGAATTTTTTTTACTGACATTAACTTGCATTTTTTCACTTCTGTCCTCCCTCAGGCTTGAGAGCTGTATACCAGAAAGTCCTGCTTTCACTCAATAAATATTAATTTAATGGGATATTTCAGAGTACCTCAATAAGAATTGGAACGACCCATCCAGTCCAGCTGAGAATCCATCGTCCTCTCCCCCTTGCTAAGCACTCTGGATCATTTTTTATATTTTCTACTTACTCAGCATCCATATTCATCAACCTCACTGACTACAGGCTCAGTCTCCTACTCTGACAAGGATCAGGGAAATTACCTGATGAATAAATAATAATGTTGCATGTTCCTTACCATAAAATGACCCCTCCAACTTCTAGGTAAGACTAGTACCAACAGGGCTGACGCATCTCAGAATTAGATCAACGGAAACCATATTTCTCTTGCTGAGTTTTCCCTCCTAGTTCTCTTCCAGCTCTGAGTGAAGGGACCAGGGCTAAAGAACTTTATATCTTTCCTCCACCATCTCATTGCGTGATGGACCTTATCCACAACAGTCTTTCTTTGTCTTTCTCGCCAGCTCTTTTCCTGCCTTCTTTTTCCCACCATGGGTTGTAATTTCTCTAGATCTTGGACAGCGGGTCATAGCAGGACTCCCAGTATTGGGTATCCAGCATTTTCTAAGGTCACCTGGGAAGTCTGTAGGGAAAGGTCAGGCTCCCTGTCCCACTTCTCTCTTTCTGTGCCACGAGAAAGTCTAGTCTCTGTTCCTGGAAGAATTGATTCCAAGAGTGTCCGGCCCCCGGGAGTGTTAGTCTTTTCTACTGCTCAGAGGACGCTGTAGGTGTAGGAGAGGCTCTCCAGACTGATACCCGCCACCGCTGCGTACAGCTCGGGCACCACCAACTCCGGCACCTGGAGCACAGCCTTGTCATCTGCATTTCGGGCCACTGCTTCTAGGCGCGTGCGGAGCTCTCTAGGAAAGGGTCGGCTGCCCTCACTCCAGCGCCAGCAGGACTTCATGAGACCGTACCTGAAAGGGAAACGAAGAATCGGATTTCCTAGGTGAGACAAAAACCCTGCCTTATTTTCTTCTCATCTTCATCTCTACTTATTCCCAGAGAAGAATGTTCTTTCTCCTCTTTTTAATGCTCAATCATAATATATTATCTTCTCTATGAGGCATTCTTATCATCAGAATGACGCTTTCTCAAACTCTGATCAGCACTACCAGTTTTTTCCACTCGAATGCCAAACAGTCTTTCAGAAGTTAAGTGTTCTCTCTTTGGATGTTACCAACTTGTAGCAAGTTAAGACCACTACAAAACGGTCTATTACTAGTTCAAGCCATTGATTTAACTTATCTATCAGTATACCTGTATAAACAAATTGCACTTAGAATCTCCTGATATAAAGTATACAAAAAGAAATTAAAAGAAAGAATCTTCTTAATCAAGTAACTTTATGGTAGAGAAACCTACGTGCTGGAAATTTACCCTTTTAGTGTTGAGTTTATAAAATCATAGTACTTTGGGCAGGGGGTGGGGGGCAGGGCTCCACACCCGGCAGTGCTCAGGGCTTACTCCTGGTTCTGTGCATAAGAATTATTCCTGGCAGGCTTGGGGGACCATAGGGAAGCTGGGGGTCAAACCCAGATCGGCTGCATGTAGGCAAACTCCCTATTCACTGTGCTATCTCTCTGGCCCCAATAAGCTGTGATTTTAATCAATATATGTATTAATATATTTCTTCTACATTTTCTTATGTAGGAGTATTGCTATTTATTCAACCATTAATTAGGCTGACTGAATCGGGCATGAACTCCACTCTTCTACATTTTAATAAACCACTGTCACTGTCCTCCCATTGTTCATCGATTTGCTCAAGCGGGCCCAGTAACGTCTCCATTGGAGACTTTGTTGTTACTGTGTTTGGCATATCGAATACGTCAAGGGGAGCTTGCCAGGCTCTGCCGTGCGGGCGAGATACTCTCGGTAGCTTGCCGGGCTCTCCGAGAGGGGCGGAGGAATCGAACCCGGCTTGGCCGGGCTGGCTGCGGGCAAGGCAAACGCCCTTCCACTGTGCTATCACTCCAGCCCACATTTTAATAAGTAATCTGACCTATTCTTATGTCCCATAACAATTCCTTTTGATATTTTATTGGTTCTTACATTCTTTACATAACTTTTTTTTTCCTTTATTTTATTTTATTTTTTTTAAAGTTGTAGATTTACAATTTTTTATGCTTTGGTTTCAATTATACAATGATCAGATACCCATCCCTCCACCAGTGCCCATTTTCCACCACCATGGATAATATCCCCCCACCCCCATCCCCCCATCCCCCCCTGCCTCTGTGGCAGGGCAATCCCCTGTGATCTCTCTCTCCTTTTGGGTGTTGTGGTCTGCAAAAGAGGAATTGAGTGGCAAACATGTTCAGTCCATAGTCTACTTTCGACATGCATCTCCCGTCCTGGGAGGATCCTCTAAACATCCTTTATTTGGTGCTCCCTTCTCTATCTGAACTGCCCTTTCCTCTAGGATACCCGGCTGGCCTCTAAGTTATGGAGTAATCCTCCTGGTGCTGATCTCAGCTATTCTTGGGTATTAATCTCATACTTTGTTACTTTATATCCCCCAGATGAATGCAATTTTTCTATGTCTAGCCCTCTCTTTCTGACTCATTTCGCTTAGCATGATACTTTCCATATTGTACCACTTGTATGTAAATTTCATGACTTCATCTTTTCTAAGAGCTACATAGTACTCCATTGTGTAGATGTACCAAAGTTTCTTTAACCAGTCATCTGTTCTTCGGCATTCAGGTTTCTTCTAGTTTCTGGCTATTGTAAAGAGTGCTGCAATGAACAAACAAGTGCAGATGTCACTTCGACTATACATTTTTGCCTCTCTGGGATATATTCCCAGGAGTGGTATTGCTGGGTCAAATGGGAGCTCAATTTCTAATTTTTTGAGAATCGTCCATACTGTTTTCCAGAAGGGCTGAACCAGTGGACATTCCCACCAACAGTGAAGGAGTGTCCCTTTCTCGCCACATCCACGCCAGCATTGGTTGCTTTTGTTCTTTTGAATGTGGGCCAGTCTCTGAGGTGTGAGATGGTATCTCATTGTGGTTTTGATCTGCATCTCCCTGATGATTAATGATGTAGAGCATTTTCTCATGTGCTTTTTTGCCATTCGGATTTCTTCTTTGAGAAAGTTTCTGTTCATTTCATTGCCCCATTTTTGGATGGGGTTGGATGTTTTCTTCTTGTGGAGTTTAACCAGTATTTTGTATATCCTGGATATCAACCCCTTGTCAGAACTTTACATAACTTTTAAGTTTTCTATTTTGTCCCTACATCTGTTCACCAGCTGTCTCCTTCTGCTAAGAGTATTGGCTACTATTTCAATCCTGCTTTCTTCTTATCCCCTTCTTGAGCTTGACTTTTTACAAGCTCAGAGGTAGGAAAGAAATGTGCTTTTAAAGTTAAATAAACACCAGTGTGGATAGCACTCGAGTAATGGATTTTCTGGCAGCTATCCTAGAACAGGTGCTAACAGAAGACTGACATTTAGACAAATAAAGCCCTACTCTATTTGCATTGGACTTGGTCTGCTTCTTCCCTATTTCAGAGCTTCTGGAGGAACTGAACTTCTGTCAAACTTAAGAGTCCTGGTACAATTCTCAATTCTCATGTCTCAATGATGTGTATAAGGAAATATATGTACAAATTTGTAGTTTTTAAAAAAGCAGGTGTGTTTTAATGCCTATGTTCGGCACAAGTGTGTCTGTGAGCACATGAAAGGATGACACTTTGAAAGGAACAGGGTTAATGAAGAGCCAGAAGGGTTTGGCGTGGGAGAAGAGGAGATTTTTAGCAACCACTTACATGGTATTTGTGCAGCTACTGGGTCGCTTCATGATTTTCTGTCTTTGAAGATGCTGTATGATGCTGTTAGGGGGAACTTCAGGGTACGGTGGTGCTCCTGTTGGTATGGGGAAAATGAAAGTAGCAAGAGAAAGTTAGGATCCTCTAGGATGTTACCTATGACAAACACTACTCTCCATCCACATGGGCTAAATGCCTGCAAAAGCAATAAATAAGATAGATTATATACAATAAGAGTTGCTCTCTGATAATGGAGTAAGTATAGACCTTAGAGAATGGGCATGGAGGGGGAACATATTTTGGTAGGGGAAACCCACCAATCACTTGGGAGAATGTTGAGTCTAATGATGGAGAAACAAAATAAAAGAAGAAACAGGATCTGTTCTCCTCTCCCCATTACTGGGAATGTGTTGAAGATCCTCAGTCAAATGGATCAATGAGTCCCAAGGCAACATATTTATGGTTATACAAGATACTCTTGGAATGATTTTTTTGTGTTTTTAAATATCCCTGGGAATTGGCAGGAGGTTGGGGGTGGGGGGGATGAGAGCATCGAAGAAAAGGTGAAAGAGACAGGAAGGCAAGGAGGAAGAGAGGAAAAGGAGGAAGCAGGTTTGGGGAGAAATCACTGCTATTTACAAGGCTCTCTTATATTCCACATCAGCTGGTGCTATCATCAGAGGTTTACAAAAAGCCCCCTCTCAAAGCATCATCCACATAAACAAGCTTCCATATTTGCATAGAGGTACACTCTGGAGATTTTTCTCACCTAGAGTCACCATCTCATAGAGTAGTATTCCAAAGGACCAGCTGTAAAAGAAACAAAGCCATTTACTTCATTCCTATCTCTGCCTTCCCTCTAGAGATCTCACTTAACTATCAGAGGCCTTTAGTAAGAACCCCCTAAAGAAGGCAGTGAAGAATCAAGGATACCAGACAAAAATAGACAAATAGTACCTGATAGTATTTCCGGCCAGTGACTCTTTCAGAATTGAATTTTGTTGAGCCCTGGATTTATGTCTTTTATATTTCACACGAATAGCTGTTATCTCTTATTTACTATGTTATATTTGTTCCTGAGAGCATATTAAACCAAAGTCAAAGAAATCCCCTCATTCTGCTGAAATTCCAGTCTGTTTTTAGCACAAGACTAAGCAAACTTTATCACTTATCTGCTATTGCCTCAGTGGACGTAACTACCCAAACCTAGGAAGTTTTATTAACAGATCAAGCCTCATACATATGTTAAATATGTATTTGCCTAAGCAAATTCTTAAGAAATGCATAGGTATGGAATGAAATGCAGGTGTGAGTGAAACAGCAATGGAAATGCTCAAATTGACTCAGCACATTAACTGATACTCTAAATTTTCTCTTCTGCTCATGTTTATGGCACGTCATTGTGCCTTATCTCTACACGCCTCCCCAAGCAATTGAGTTTTATAGTTTTAGAAGTCAAGTACAATTCTTTATGATTCTATTCATGCTAAACATACATCTGCCATTATGTAATTCATTAAATACTACACAAACTGATTGAACACAAATGCAAAACAAGGTTTTTTCTCTTGTAAAATTAAGTTGGAAATTGTGAAAATATTCTCTAAAAATAAGTCACTGAAAAGAAATTAGCATTAAATTTTGTAGGTGAGACTGCCAAAGAAAAATGGGGAAAATTACAATAAAACTCTGAAAATGTTTAGGCATCATAATTGTTTTCAAGTCTCTCTCTCTCTATTGAGGGGGGCATTTTAAGCTGAAATTCACAATAATTCATATGACTGCTATTTATCCAAGAAACATAATGTGTAAGTTCATGTAGCAGCTCTATACTCATAAGAGAGAATGGCCCTGTTCTGAAAGAATAAGCAATATGCACTTTATGTTTGGAGTTAAATAAGCTATTCACCATGTATATATTTCTACTTATTCTAATAATCTCTGGTTTAACTGAACTCTTGATTACTAGAGCCACCTCCTCCAGATAAAAGGAATTAAACTAGATCAAGTCCTCAGTTACAGGTGTGGATAATCTTTAACATTTTTTCCCCAGGTTGGAGGAACACAGCCTGGACCATTCTTAACAGAGCTGTTAGGGCTGAATTGCATACATCGCATGCAGGAAGCCCAGGTTTGATTCCTGGCTCTATGTGGTCCCCAAGCACCCTGGGTATGTTCCAAAATAAATCTTCAATTATTTTTTTCTCTACTAAAGCTGCACAAAAGTAATACTTCAAAAGACACTTAAAAATAAAAATCATTTGAAAGTATTGCAGTCTAAGAGCCAATATAATCTCTGTCAGATGACATACATTTCTTCTGGAGGTTCAGTCTTGACTTCTGAGTAGAGATAGCACTCATAGATACCATTGACAATATACCAGGTCACAGCCAGGGACTAGGGGACAGCCGGGTCAAGAAGGGTAGAAGTTCAAAGGGTGGGGACAAACCATACATGTCTGCTCTGATCCCAGCTGGTCTCTGCAGGAGCCGTTCTGGAGCGAGCCACTTGAGAGGTACTTTGCGGGTAGGTGGGATGGACCCACGGGCATGAACTTCGTAAGCCAAGCCCAGTCCACAGAGCTTAGCGGTGAGATCACTCTGGATCAGGATATTCCTAGCGGCCACATCCCCGTGAAACAAGTGCTTATCCTGGAGAAATTCCTGTCACCATAGATCAAAAGTGGATCAAGGTCACATACAGACAAGGAGAAGCAGCTCTAGCTATCCTCAAAAAGAGAATTTCAATTTATTTTGCTTTGTTTCATTTTTGTTTGGGGGCCACACTTGGCGATGTTGAGGGGTTCCTCCTGATTCTGTACTCAGGAATTACTCCTGGCAGTGCTCGTGGACTATATGGGATGTTCAGGAATCAAACCCTGGTCAGCCACATGCAAGGCAAGCTATACTGAAGCCCTGGCCTCCAAAAGAGAATTTTTCCTTGCCAAACAATTTTCTCTAATAAGGAAGGAGATTTCTCTTCCAACTCATGATTGTGAATGAGACATTTTTATGTTGTGTTTAGGATGAGAAAAGAATGGAGCAAAGAATCCAAATAAAATTAATTCTAGTTTGGGAAAGTGTTTATCAAGCCCACATTCATATCTAGGTTTGATTTCCTCCCAGACAAGATTCAGCTAGAAATGGGAATGCGAGAAGACTTTGCAAGTTTCAGCAACAGGGAACAAATTTTTTAGTATTGAATGAACAACTTTACATCAAATTTTAGGTAATTTTGTCCATTTTGTCCCAAAAATAATTAAAGAGGTGAGTTTGGAAAGTAACTTTTAGATGAATTTAAGTGATGATCAATAAGGCCCCAGAGTGATAAGAACTAAATGTCCTATTGCGTAGAAATTACATATTTTTCTGATAATTCTCAAACTAGGATAAAAATCCAGCCCGATTTTTATCTGGAGCGCTGGAGTGATAGCACAGTGGTAGGGCGTTTGCCTTGCATGCAGCCAACATGGTCGACCCGAGTTCGATTCCTCCGCCCCTCTCGGAGAGCCTGGCAAGCTACCGAGAGTATGTCGCCCACTCGGCAGAGCCTGGCAAGCTCCCCGTGACGTATTCGATATGCCAGACACAGTAACAACAAAGTCTCCAATGGAGACGTTACTGGGCCCGCTCGAGCAAATCGATGAACAACGGGAGGACCTTTACCTTTACCTTTACCTTTACCTTTACCTTTACCTTTACCTAGGATAAAAATCAGCATTGCCTGAAAGCTTTCTCCTAATTTTCCTGATTGATTTTGTTGTTGTTGTTGTTGTTGTTGTTGGTGGTGGTGGTGGTGGTGGTGGTGGTGGTGTTCTGTTAGTGAGGATATGGAGCCACCTTCAGCAGTGCATTCAAGGGGCAATACAGTGTCAGGGACTAAACCCAGGGCCCAGGCATGCATAATACACACTCTAGCCCCTTGAGTGATCTTCCTAGCTGCTAACTGCATTTTGATCCCTAATACATTTTATATCTCAAGGTGGCAAGACTTATCAAATACTTAAAATAGTAACTTCACTGATCTCTGATTTACAGCAGCAAATGCTGGGCTAATTTTAAGTACAATTATTGAAATAATGTCATAGAAATAGTCACTAAATTTCCTGAGTAATTTTGGTAAAAATTCACTTTTTTCTCTTTAAATCCTGAGTTTTTTTTTATCCTTTAAGTTGATTTAAAATAAGCAACTATCTCTTGATTACCCATTCCCTTCCTTCTTTTTCCTTTGTTCCTTATTGACTCTTTTTTTTTAAAAAAGTAAACATGTTTCCTATCACATTCAGTATCAAAGTAATTCTCCAACGAGTCATGGTCTGAACTAGTTCTTCTTGTTTTTCAGGTATAAAATTGTATGCCTCCTTCTGGTTCTTATAACCTTTCACCAATTCAGTTTCTTTTCCCATATTTCCTCTCAACTTGCTTTTCTTTTTGCCACTTTTACATCAACTATATTAGTATATATGGGGGAAAAATAATCAAGGAAACAAGCATAGAGCTCTTGGTTTTTTATCTTTAACCTTAAGTTGAATTATTTTCTACCTACAATTATTGACGACATAATATAACATTAAAATAATTTCATGATTAGGACTGGAGTGATAGCACAGTGGGTAGGGTGTTTGCCTTGCACGCGGCCGACCCAGGTTCGATTCCCAGCACCCCCTATGGTCCCCTGAGCACCGCCAGGAGTAATTCCTGAGTGCAGAGCCAGGAGTAACCCCTGTGCATTGCCGGGTCCAAAAAGCAAAAATAAATAAATAAATAATTTAATGACTAAGAAACTGACCATTAAAGCTTGAGTTCTGACATGCTTAGAATTAAAATACCACTTAACTTACAGCCTATATTCCTTATACTGTGTGCTCTATTGAGAAATCAAAATATGAGAGACAGGACCTCAAACACCTGAGTAGCAATAAAAGCCCCCCACCATCTGCTGTCATCTTACCAGAGCCAGAAGCACCTGCTTTCCGATGTGATAGACTTGTTTTTCTGTGAGATCATAAAGAAGGCCTTCCATGGTCATTACATCCTAAAGAGAAAGAGGAAGTAGAATTATAACAAAATCACTCAAGCAGGTGGTGGGGGAGGGATAAAGGGTATGAATATTATTAAATGTAAATATTCAAGCTAAGGAAATGAAACAAAAAACATGTACTCGGAGTCAATAAAGACTATTACAACAGATTCCCAGATATGCAGAGAAGTACAATGATTTATTAGGCTGTAAAAAGAAATAGTGTAGATGTAAAGCAAAAGCAAAGAAGAGTAAAAGTTAGGGAAAAAATAATTATATGTAAGGCTCCTCAATGAGTACAGCAGCAATTTTACCCAAGGCAGTGTGTGTGTGGTATGTGTGTGTGGTTGTGCGTGTGTGTATGTGTGTATGTGAAGCACACCAACCCAACACATTTTTTTTTTGCTTTTTGTCTCACACCTGGCGATGTTCAGGGGTTACTCCGGGCTCTGTACTCAGGCAGTGCTCAGGAGACCATATGGATGCCAGGGACCAAGCCTGGGTCAGACTCATGCAAGGCAAATACCCTACCCACTGTACTATTGCCCCAGTCCCAACTCAACACATCTTGATTAAACACCTACAGTGTGCCAGATTCCATCTTAGGAACTCAGAATGTAATAGTCATCAAAATAAACGTGTCTAGTTCCTTCCGTTGATTATAGTATGCCAAACACGTGTGGCTCTGGATCATTAATATGCTTATGAATTTATGGTCACATATCTATATAGCACTATCAGTATCTCATTCTACGTCATATAGTCATGAAGGAAATGCAGTAGGGAAGAATATCTGCTGATGGAGCACAGATGATTGTGTGCAGAAAATCAAAAAGCTTTTGATTAACTCTGAAGGAAGAGTGGGTTGATTATGAAAAACAAAAAGAAAAAAGTTGGTGTACTGAGAAAAGCATGTGGAGATAGAGAGAAGCTGATGAGATTAGTGCACACAACAAGCACAGATAGAAAACCTTCCAGAAGACTTAAATACTTCCTATGGCCATCACTGGAAGACATTAACAGGATGTCCTTTCCACAGATGTTAGGTAGCGTGATTACCAACAAATCGAGGTGGCTCTAGTGATTTTGCCCTGTCTCACTGGTAACTGAGAGACTAATTAGAGAAACATAAGAGAGATGTATCGAGAATCAGGGAAATTGTATGGAATAAGATTTACATTAGCATTTTAATGTATTTTCCAGTATGTGTTTTATGTGAAAAATATTTACCAGCTGGATTTTTCCGTGAGTCAGCCCTCACACACTAGTACAGAATAAAACAGGGAAATTGCATGTAATAAGATTTACACTAGTATTTTAATGCATTTTCCAATATGCATTTGATATACAAAAATTTTCAAGCTAGATTTTTTTTCCTTGAGTCAGCTCTCACACACTAGAACAGTATAAAAACAGATTTTATACTAAAAGCATAAATTTACCATCATTACTAACAACAATAATGTGGCTGTGTAAATTATCATCATGACCACTCTTTTGGGTGCTTGCTGTCTCCCAATCACCACTGTTATGTTTTACATGAAGCATTCATTTGAAGTTTAATAATGAGTTATTGCCAACTTTTTTTAGATTAAAATTACTCAGGCTCAGATCAGTAGCAGGAGAATTACTCCATGGCTTAGAGGCCAGCCGGGCATTCTAGGGGAAAGGGCAGCTCAGATAGAGAAGGGAGCACCAAATAAAGGGTGTTTGGAGGATCCTCCCAGGATGGGACATGCATGTTGAAAGTAGACTATGGACCGAACATGATTGCCACTCAATGCCTCTTTTGCAGTCCACAACACCCAAAAGGAGAGAGAGAACAAAAGGGAATGCCCTGCCACAGAGGCAGGGTGGAATGGGGGGGATGGGAGTGGGAGGGATACTGGGATCCATGGTGGTGGAAAATGGGCACTGGTGGAGGGATGGGTGTTTGATCACTGTATAATTGAAACCCAAGCACAAAAGTTTGTAAGTCTACAACTGTACCTCATGGTGTTTCACTAATAAAAATTAATAAAAAAAAAAAAGAAATACTCAGGCTCAAAGAGGTGATTGATTGACTCAAAGCTAGTCAGAGGGGTCGGAGTGCTAGTACAGTGGGTAGGGCATTTGCCTTGCACACAGCTGACCTGGGGTTCAATCCCCGGCAACCCATATGGTTCCTCCAGCACCGTCAGGAGTAATTCCTGAGTAAAGAGCCAGGAGTAACCCCTGAACATCATTAGGTATAACCCAAAAAGAAGGAAAGAAAAAGCTCGTCAGAGTAGTAACTTAAAACCCATGAAATTTGCACTGGCCCTTATGCATCTCTTAGGCACAGGGAGTTACTTAAACAGACTTTACTCACAGGTAAATGCAGTTTAAGTTTCAGTTTCTCCATCACCTTCTCCATCAAGCACTCCATTAGCGACCTGCAATCGCTAGCTGCCTTATTGGACAGAGCTGACTTAGAACGTTTCTTTCATCACACAAAGTTCTGTTGTACGATGATACTCAGTGGCACTCTTGAATGCTTTAATGTTAGAGCATGCAAAGACTGCTTTTTCATGTGTCTGGCTAATAGACAGCAGGGAGCTAATTAGTCCGGCAAACCTTACCCTCCTCACATCCCGGCCCTGCTGCTTACCCGGCGACAGGTCCAGAGGAAGCTGAGCAGGTCCCCATGGACCACGTCCTCCAGCACCATGTAGAGTGGCAGCCTTTCTGTGCAGCAGCCCTCCAGCTGTACCAGATTTGAGTGCTTCCCTAGGTACTGAGAGAAGTGGATTCGCCCTATGAAATCCTGCACCTCTCGGAGCCCAGCGGGTTCTGTGGAAGGCAGGAAAGTCATAGGCAACAGCAGTCACCATCAGGAATCAAATGAAGGAAGGAGACGGGAAGTAACCCCTAGTGATTATTCTCAAGGCTCCTGGAGCATAGACGAAAGGAACTAGAATGAGATCTCAGTGTTCCTGAACTTGTATCAATGATGGCAATGCTTCAGAAACCTTTACTGGTTGGGTCAGAGAGATAGTACAGCAGCTAGGGCATTTGCCTTAGATGCAGCTGACCTGGGTTCAATTCCCAGCATCCCATATGGTCCCCCAAGCACTGCCAGGAATAATTCCTGAGTGCAGAGCCAGGACTAACCCCTGAGCATCACTGGGTGTCACCCAAAGAGAAAAAAAAAGAAAACCTATACTGGTTTACTGCCACCTAAATAAACAAGAGTGTCAGTCATATTGAGATAGTATCAGTTATCTAGGTCTCTTGATTGATAGTCTTGCTTCTCCCATCCTTATTCTTTTTATGCATCTACAATTACTAGGAAAATCATGAGTGTCAAAAGGAAAAAAGGGGGGGCTGGAGTGATAGCACAGCGGGTCGGGCATTTGCCTTGCACACGGCCGACTCGGGTTCGATTCCCAGCGTCCCATATGGTCCCCTGAGCACCTCCAGGAGTAATTCCTCAGTGCATGAGCCAGAAATAACCCCTGTGCAATGCTGGGTGTGACCCAAAAAAGAACAAAAGAACCTGAGGAATGTACTATCAGGGAGAGATAGAATATAGTGAAGGAAAATGAAGAAACAATCGGAGTTACAGTCATAGCTCCACACAGAAACATCAGTTCTAACAGCCTCTCTAGATAAACCTGAGCTAGAGAAAGTCCCCAGGAGGAGCATCTCTGCCTCCAGCTTCCGTTGTCCTTTCCTGATTATTCTGCCCAGAACTGTGATCACAGAACTGTGATCACATCTATCTGCTGGTTAAACTCTGCACAGGTGATGCCTATTAGTGTTCAATGCCAGAGGTGTACGGTGGAGTGTCTAGCGCTTCTCCTTGTACCTTTTAGAGCTCTGAGGATGACACTCTTGGGTTTAGCAGGGTCCCCGGTGTGCATCTGTGTTCGATAGATGAACCCACATGTCCCACTGGCGATCTTCTCCAGGACATCTGAGATTCGCTCCCGGGGCACCTGGAGCTGAGCCAAGGCTTGCGTGCTGCTTTCTAGAAGACTTTCCACCGAAGTCGCCTTAAGTGGCATCTGCACATTTCCTCCAGGTCCTGCGGCTTCCCTGAGAAAATCCGTCGATGGAGGCACAGGGGCAGGGTCTAGAAAAAGAGAAGACACCAGACAGCTCTTCCAAAATGACCCTGGAAACTCCAGGAAAGCAGAGCCTGGGACAAATTGGCGAGCAAGTTCCTCTTGCCATTTAGTCTCTGGCCAACACAGGGCTTTCTCCTAATGCTTTCCTATGAACCAACATCAGTATCAATCTTGCTAAAATTTTATAATGATCCCACTACATCTAAGACAACTTGAGATGGACCTCTTGGAAGTGGAAGAGACATCTCCTTTTCATCTTCATTGATATTAGTACAATTAGGAAGTTTTTGCATAGGTAGCTAAACCACAAATGGTAGTATCCGAAACTATGGTTGGTTTTTCTTCCTTTTTTTTTTTTTTTTTTGCTTTTGGGTCACACCCAGCGATGCTCAGCGATTACTCTTGGCTTTGCACTCAGGAATCACTCCCGGTGGTGCTCAGGGGACCATATGGGATGCTGGGAATTGAACCTGGGTTGGCCACATTCAGGCAAACACCCTACCTACTGTGCTATCGCCCCAGTCCCGGTTCCTGGTTCTTTTTTCTTAATGTTGGCCTAAAACTACACAAATAAAAGACAACTTCCACCCAAACACTAACCATATAGATCTGATCATGCTTACTTCCAAGATCAGACAAGGTGAGATATGTTCAGGGTAGTTCGACTGTAGGTAAAGAGAGATTTGAAGTCACATATGGACAGTGGTAGAAAGTCTTGGACACCTTTTGGTGGTGAAACTGCAGTATAACTGTACACCAAAACACTATTTTAACGATGTTATCCAATCTAAAATATTAAAAAAAATCTGGGGGGCAAAGAGATAAGGTGGGTAAGGTATTTGCCTTGCACACAGCCAAATAAGCTTCAATTCCTAGCATCTCATATGGCTCCTGAGCACCACAACGGGTGATCTCTGAGTGCAGAGTCAGGAATAACCTCTGAACACCCCTGGGTGTGATCCAAAAAGAGAAAGTGATTCTTTCACTTTTTCTTAACCAATTTATCTCCACTGGAGAAGAGAACTTTTGCTTATAATATCTTGATTCATTATTTTATTCACTTGTTCAACAAATATCACCTCCTACCTATCAATCACTGTTCTGAATATTGGAAATTGGCAAGGTCCATATTGCAAGAAGATTAGTGACAGGAGAGAAGAATCAGTTAATAATACACAGAGTGATGAGAGTTACAGAGGAAAATTGGACAATATGTATCCTCAGTAATGCTGTTTTATGTTTGAAGGGCATGAAAGTCTGGTCTTCTGAAGAATACCTTGCAATTATGGAACTAACCAGGTTGGTCTGATATCCAAAGGGCATTACAGGCAAAGGGAACAAAAGGCTCAAAGAATTTAGGGAGGGGCAGTGTTATGTGAACTGACCACAGCTGGAACCAAATGGGATTGTAACCTGGGAAACTCTCAGGCGGGTGGAGAAGAGTTAAGTAGAGAACTGACAGGACTGACTTAATGCCTTCAAAAAATTATTCTGGCTGCTTTGAAAATGGACCACAAAGGAGTATGAGCAAAGCAAAGGACACTAGTCTGGAGCATATGTAATAATCTGTGAACTGATGGTCGTTTCCCGAGATCCAGAAGTCTATTGAGAAAGGGCATTAGCAAGGGGGTTTGAGGAACTTTGTTTGGGACCTATTACCTAGGAGATTGTACTAGGTCAACGTAGGTGGTTTACTATAATAATCTGGAATTCAACAGGTCTATTCTCAAGATAGAGAGAATGTTTTTGAATCCTCAGAAGACTGAAAATGAGGTCATTTCAGCAGTGGTTGCAAACTGAAAAGTCAAAAAATTTTCTTTTGGTTAATCAGCTAATCAGTGGCTGAATAAATAGCAGTAGGGCTGGAGCGATAGCACACCGGTAGGGCATTTGCCTTGCATGCAGCCATCATGGCCGACCCGAGTTCGATTCCTCCGCCCCTCTCGGAGAGCCCGGCAAGCTACCGAGAGTATCTCGTCCGCACGGCAGAGCCTGGCAAGCTCCCCATGACGTATTCGATATGCCAAACACAGTAACAACAAAGTCTCCAATGGAGACGTTACTGGGCCCGCTTGAGCAAATCGATGAACAACGGGAGGACCGTGTCCATGTCCTACATTAAAACAAAAAATTTTCTTTTGGGTGGGGGAGGCACACCCATGCCCTGGCTCTGAGCTCAGGGGATGGGATCATGCTTGGCAGGGATTAGGGGACCATATGGGATGTTGGGGGATTAAACCTGGGTCAGGTGCATACAAACAAGCACCCTAACTGCTGCACCATCTCTCCAGCCCAAAAGTCAAAGGCTTTTCCAGAAAGCTTAAGTGCCAAACCTTTGCAAATAATTTTAACATGTAAGACCAAAGATTTGCCATTTCTGGAGTGATCTTGGAAAGTCTGTAGAATAGTGTGACTAAAAGCATTATTTCAGTAGAACCAGAAGCAAAAGTGATCAACAGAAGTAGCAAAACACAACTCTAGAAGTCACTCCTGTAAAAGTAAATTATTTCAAAAATTGGGGTAAATTTGAGCAAAGGACTAGAAATCAGTACCTATGGAATTTCATATCACTGTCAGAGTTTTTTTTTTAACCTTCTTTTTACTCTAAAGTTTCCTCTATGTTCTGATTTTATTATGGGCTCAATGATATTTTTAAAGAGCATGTTATAATCCTCTCCAAACCCTTCAAAGACTAATACCCTTTGCAGACCCCTCCCCAAGCATCTCCAGGTATGTCCCAGTGGCCCCTGTGTTCACAAGGCGTGGCCTCAATGGAAAAAAAAAACACCCTTTCATCATACATCCCAGGATGGCAGAATAAAGCTGATAGCAGTGACAGGGTAAAATATCATCCTTCAAGGCTAGTGAGAAAGCTATCCATTTGACCCAGCGAGTCTTCCTCTGCAATTCTCAGTCACGTGGCCAGAGGTTGGATACAAGCAGTAGGGCAGAGAAAACACAAACAGGACACTCCCACCTACTCTCCTCGCCAGCCCAGAAGCACCTACACAGGATTTCCTGGGAAAGGGCTCACCCCCTTTCCACAACGCAGAGGCGACCCAGGCTGCTTCCACTGAAGAGACACAAATCCCTTGACTGAGGCCATCTTCTGCTCAATCAGCATCTTCCCCGAGCCTCCGCCCGACCCATCTTGAACTTTACCTTGGGGTCCAGGAGACTGACACTGGACTCTGTGTCCTCTGATAAACAGCCACAGGATGATGGCAACAGTGATAATGAAGACAGCAATAAAGAAGGTCGGGACCACAATGATTTCATACTGCTGCTCCTGGAGCACTGGGCAGGAAGAGAAGAGGATGAAGCAGCAGCCCCACCTGACTGCCAGGCCTCAGTTCACTGTCATCAAAATACTATCTCTCTTCCTTCTTCCCCCCTACTTCCATTCCGTGTAATCACTATTGCACACAAGTCTCCACTGAGAACCCAGTATCCTGTTCCTTAGTCCCCCGCCTGTGCTCTGTACCTCCTGGAGGAGGCACATTGGGACTTCTGATTGGAGGAGGTGGCACATTGGGACATCTGGTTGGTCCGTTCCCCCTTCAAGACAATGGCCTGATTACCTTTTCCTTGATCAGTTACTGTTTCCGTTTCTACTGGAAATCAAAAGAGCCCCTCTTCTTTTTCTTTTGTTTTTGCTTTTTTTGGGTCACAAGCAGTAATTCTCAGGGGTTACTCCTTGCTATGCACTCAGGAAATACTCCTGGCGGTGCATGGGAGGACCATACAGGATGCTGAGGATCAAACTTATGATGACTGTGTGGGAGGCAAAAAGCCCTCCCCACTGTAATATCGCTCTAGCCCGAGCCCCCTGTTCTTATCATGAACAGCTGGGCAGCCAGGGAAGTAAAAGCTGCCAAAGAGAGACTGCTGCACCTGATTTTTTTTTTTCATTTTGCCTTTGGGTCACACCCAGCGATGCACAGGGGTTATTCCTGGCTCATGCACTCAGGAATTACTCCTGATGGTGCTCGGAGGGCTGGAGCGATAGCACAGCGGGTAGGGCATTTGCTTTGCACAAGGCCCACACGGCCGACCTGAGTTCAATTCCTCAGCCCCTCTCGGAGAGCCCGGCAAGCTGCTGAGAGTATCTCACCTGCACAGCAAAACCTGGCAAGCTACCCGTGATGTATTGCTACCCATGATGTATTCCATATGACAAACACAGTAACAAGTCTCACGATGGAGACGTTACTGGGCCTGCTCGAGCAAATCGATGAACAACGGAGGACAATGCAGTTCAATCACTTTCTCTTTGGGTCACACCCAGTGATGCACAGGGGTTATTCCTGGCTCATGCACTCAGGTATTACTACTGACGGTGCTCGGGGGACCATACGGGATGCTGGGAATTGAACCCGGGTCCACCGCATGCAAAGCAAACGCCCTACCTACTGTGCTATCTCTCCAGACCCTGCACCTGATTTCTTCCTCCTGACTTCCATTCCATGAAATCGCTATTGGCACAAGTCTCCAATAACCAACCCAGGGTCCTTGCTCCTTAACCTACCGCCTGTGCTCCGAATCTTCAAAAGGAGGTGGAACATTGGGTTTTCTGATTGGCCAGTTCCCCCTTCAAGACAATGGCCTCATTACCTTTTCCTTGATCACTGTTTTCATTTCTACTGGAAACCAAGTCATTTTCCCTCCAGTGATGAGGGAAACAGTCCCCTGTCCTCATCATAAACGGAAATAAAAGCTGCCAAAGACAGTCTGTCGCACCCGCCTACAGGCTGTGCTGGGGACACTGTCGAGACAGTCCTCCTTGCTCAGTGACTGCAGAACGTGCTCAGAGCAGGAGGTCCTGAGCCTGCTTTGAAAGGAATAAGTTTGAGACTTTCTGCATCTGTCCTCTCCTGCCTGTGTGAGGGCGAAACTGATGCCATGACAAGCTGCAGCCAACATTAAGTCTCAACTAGGTCTCAGTTTCTGTTTCCCCAAAGTATGACATGCAGTTGCTGGTAAACTCCCAGTTGAATAATTTTCCCAAAATAAGGAATTGGGCAGTTGGGTCTGGCCAATCATGAGGGGTCACTGTACCCTCCTTAGAAACTGTTGCTAACCATTGCCTAATTGCTGACCACCATTGTAATAGGGTCATTGCTAAAAATAGACCAGTATATTAATTGCTTCTTAACTCTGAACCCTATACAAACTGCTTGTGATTTGGAGTCGGGGTCCTTGTCAAGACTCCCCTGTGTTAGATGAGACTTGGGCCCTAGCTCAGGCTAGCGCTGGCTCCGGCTAGTAATAAAGTTCCTTTGTGTTTGCATTTTCATGTATGGACTTGGTCTCTCCGCAATTGGGGATCTGAAACTAGGTCACAACACCTGATTCCTGCAGATGCCCCTCTTCCCCCATCAGACACAGTAAAATCAAACTCCTGATCTTGTTCAGTTTTTCTGAGCAGGGGCTCAGCAGGGTACCCTGTGAGTGAGAAACCCGAGTCCTCCTCTGGCTCTCGGCTGAATCTTCCACAACACTAGAACCCATCCAGATCTTCATCTGTCATCTTCCCATCAGCAGAGAGGCATCAGTGGTGCCTGGACCTACCACACAGCTTGTCGCTGAGGCTGCACCCCAGGAGCACCCGCATGGCGCCCCTCTCCTTGCCCATCGCCACACGGCTGGCCACTGCTAGGCTTCACTGGCACGGGATGTGCTGAGTATAGCTGATGGTAACTCCCAAGGACTGAGACGTTCTGGAAAAAAATGATAAAGGAGCACAGAAAAGAAAATTTTTACTTTTTTATTCCATACTAATGAAAGTTTATGTAATCAGAGCAACATCATAAATGACAAGCAGGGAAATACAGCCATAGCATATTAATCTGAGTGGATATATAACTCCACATCAATTAATATAAATTAGTATTACTATTTATAATACATAGTACTCTATACAGATAATCAGATAATAATCCTTAGTAGGTATAATCTATTGTTGTGAATCACTGATTTTTTTCTTTTTGCTTTTTGGGTCACACCTGGCGATGCACAGGGGTTAGTCCTGGCTCTGCACTCAGGAATTACCCCTGGCTGTGCTCAGGGGACCATATGGGATGCTGGAAATCGAACCCGGGTTGGCTGCATGCAAGGCAAATGCCCTACCCGCTGTGCTATCACTCCAGCCCATGAATCACTTATTTTTAAGACAAAACATATCATTGCATTTAGTTGTTAATTCAGAAAATGAATAGTTAGTGGACAGATAAGTTATACATTTGTTTTCTTTCTCTGAGGGAGCCTTTCCTTCCTACAGCCTCACAATGATCTATGATTTGTTAAGACTGTTCATAAAACTACCAGAGGAGCATCTAGTTAAAAGGTCAGTTATTACCACAACAAAAACTGTACATTAAAATAGAATCTAATCTTTTTTCTGATCACAACCTGGTGAAAGTTTTAGGAATATCGGCTCAACTACACTAAAGATAGCTATTACAGCCCTTCTGAAATGTAGTTTGACCTTATAAATTAGTTCACTGTTTAAGAGAAATTTGTTTAGTGCCCATAAAAGTCAGATTCTCTGGCAGATAGCTGGTTGAGCAGGCTGGAGTGCATGCTTGGCTTCCAGAGAGCCCCTGGTTCCCATTCTTGATGTCGCATGGTCCCCCAAGCATGATCAGAAGAGACTCCACCCCAAGCACTGAGCCGCAGAGGAGGCAAGGGGGGAACAGCCCCTGTATGGCTGGAGAAACAAAAGCATCAGAGACAGAGAAATAGTACATCACCTAAGATGCTTGCCTTCCACCCCTTCCCAAGGGTTTAACCCTTGGCACAACATATGGTCCCCTGAGAACCATCAGAAATAATCCTGAGCACAGAGCCAAGAGTAAGCCCTGAGCACTGCCAGGTGTAGTCCCCAAACCAAATAATAAGTCAAATACTCTGCCACAGACTAAAATGAGAACAAGCAATTCCCTACCACCAAATATGATGAGGAAAATAAACAATAAGTTATATTTACAGGAAGTATAGTACTACAATAGTCTGGAGCAAAGACTAAAAGACTGGAAATGAACTTGAGATCTATTCTGGATACAGAATCCACAGAACTTTCTGGGAGGATATTCTATCACAAGCAAGTTTCTATCAAGTGCGCATAAGCCCATCAACTAAGAGATTGGCAGACAATGGCTCATCCACTGTTATAGGTGAACCAGCTGGGAAGAGAAGGTCTGAAGCATTCAAAATGAGTATTCCAGGACAGAAATTTGTGTGGGAGACAGAAATTAGTGACATGGCCACAGAGAGGTTATATTTAAAGGTAGGCAAGTAAACAAGCTAAGAAGAAGAGAGGAGAAAACAGATGCTGAGATTGTGCTGTGGTGTGGGTTCAACAATTGTGAATAGACAAAAACAAAAATGAAAAGTGCCCTTGGGATCATGCAACTGGAGGTTATTGAGCCACAATTCTAGAACCCTCTACAGATCACTAATTACTAAGTGCATGGTTCCCTGGAATTCTTGGAGCCATTCATTCACCACTACCCATGGACTAGATCTTCAGGCTAGGAAAAACTTCACTTCCTCACCCCACCCTCCCCACTCTGGCATTTTTCTCTTTTCTGTTATACAGTAAGAAAAACTTGGTCTGCTTTATACTTTCATGTCATTATTGCTCAAATTGTTTTTATTTTATTTACTTATTTTTGAATCACAGTGAGATACACAGTTTATGCAGTTACAATTGTTCATGATTGGCTTTCAGTCATATAATGAATGTTTCAACACCAACGCCCGTGTACATTTCCCACCACCAATGTTCCCAGTTTCTCTCCCCTCCCCACCCCTACACCCCACCAACTCTCACCTGCCTCTATGACAGGAACTTCTTTCTCTTTCTCTGCCCAAATTGTTTTTATTTTATTTATTTATTTAGCTTTTGGGGTCACATCCGGCGATGCTCAGGGGTTACTCCTGGCTCATGCACTCAGGAATTACTTCTGGTGGTGCTAGGGGGACCATATGGGATGCTGGGAATCAAACCCGGGTCATTCACGTGCAAGACTATTGCCCTACCCACTGTGCTATTGCTCTAGCCCCCCAAATTGTTTTTAAAGACCCCTTCCTGTCCAGATTCCTACTTCAGAGCATAATAGTGTTCACAAGCATTGTCTGAGAATGTGGCCCACAGTACTAGTGGGGAAAAAATATCTATCTCCCCTGCATTCCTTAGTAGATACAATCTTTTGCTGTGAATCACTTATTTTTAAAACAAAACATTTAATTGCATTAGTTGTTAATTCATAAAATGAATAGCTGGCAGACAGATAAATTATATATTTGGTCTATTTCTCTCAGGCATCCTCTCCTTCCTACAGCTTCACAGCCAATGAAAAACTGCACTGGCTCTCAGAGCTCTAAGCAGCTTCCCTGGCCATTATATTAAAATCGAACAATCATCATCACCAATCTATAGAAAAGAAGTTTGTCAGTACCAGAATATCTTTCTTCTCTTCCTCTTTCAAACAGAAGGAAAATATACACATGTACTATATATATACATATATATATGTGTGTGTGTGTGTGTGTGTATTTTATAACTATAAAATTCGATAAAAAAATTTTTCCCATTCACTCTTTTTCATTTTTCTAGTATCCAATTTTCCTCCAAGTAGACTCTAGGCTCTAGGTACTAATTTGTTTCCTGGCCAGAAAACCTTCATATGCACTACTTATAATTCTTTAAATCAGCATATATTCAAAATGATATCTCCAAAACCTAGGTACTGAAGAGAAGAGGTGCTCACCACTCCATATATCTAAAAACTTTGTCTTATTTTTGATTCTGTGGGCAATAAGGCTTTATTCTTTCTGATTGATCCAGAATCAAACCAGTGATTATCCACTGTCTAAACAACTCCAATGACAGTATATGACCTAGTTTTTCTGTTGAGTTGATAGAAAGGCGAAACATGGAATATCAGAATACGTATGACATTACCTACATTATGCATATAAACTACTTTGTGTTGTTTCTATTATCGAGACGAATAGCCACCGTGTTATGTATTGAGGCAGAGTCTCTTGGGAATTCAGCCATTACATAAAGAAACAAGCAGCTCCCCCCACCCCTCACCTGACCAGGCAGCTGACAGTCAGGCAGTTTCCATACAACCCCAAAGAGACAGGGTGTTCTTGGCTAATAGAAGTCCCAGTCAACAGAGGAATAGCCAGGAGGAAAACTGCAGGGGATGGGAGGAATATTCTTATCTGTGCATTTGCGCATAGCAAGAAAGCTATGAAGTCGATGAAGAGTGAGACCACAAACTCACACAGTTCCATAAGAGCATGTGGAAAGAAACGGACAGGTAAAGGCAAGAAGCAGGGGTTAAGACACTTGCCTTGCCAGCAGCCAGCCCAGTTTGACTCTCTGATGACACTGCATGGTCCCCTGAGCACCAGCAGCAGCGACTTCCAAGCACAGAGCCTGGAGGAGCCCCCAGAGCACCATTAGATGGGGCCCCCAAACCAAACCAAACCAAAAAAGGGCCCAGGTAGACAGACAGCCTGAGAGTGTGAAGCCACAGGGGTCTGGAACACAGTAGGGCAGCTCAGAAGCTGCTCTTGCTCTTCATCCTCCCCTTTCCACCGACTTCACTGCTAGGCTGTCTCGGATGCAGTTCTTTCATCAAGGGCGGCCCGTTTAACTAGCGGGGCTCCAGCACCATGTGGAAGAAAGGGTCAGTCGGCAGCTCCAACTTGAGCTGTGCCCAGGAACCAAGCCCCTGGCCCACTAATATACACGGAAGGAAGGACTCTAGCCGTGGTATGTGCGCGTACCCCCCACCCCCCCCCCACACACACAGAGCTGCCCAATAGGCCCCAGTTCACTAGCTGCACAGGTCAAACCACACCCTCTGCCCAGCCCCGCGCCCAGCAACACTTATCCCAGACCTATGTTTGTCCTCACACCTGATTCCTGGACTCACGCTGATGGCGCAGCAGTCACTGTGAACTTCTGCATTTCCTGAATAAGGTTGTTTTGTGCATAGTTTTTTTTTTTTCACATGCGATAGCACAGCGGAAGGGCGTTTGCCTTGCGTGTGGCCGGCCTGGCCAAGCCAGGTTCAATTCCTCCGCCCCTCTCGGAGAGCCCGGCAAGCTACTGAGAGTATCTCACCCGCACAGCAGAGCCTGGCAAGCTACCCATGACGCATTCGATGTGCCAAACACAGTAACAACAAGTCTCACAATGGAGACGTTACTGGGCCCACTAGAGCACATCGATGAACAACGGGAGGACAGTGCTACAGTGCTACTGTGCTTAGTTTAAAAAGTGAAGGTGGATTAGCTACATGGAGCAGAGCAAGGAAATAGACATCTAGTGGCATAAGATCCACTGCATAAGTTGGTTTCCAGATGTTTGCAAGGTAACCTTTTCCCCAGTGATTACAGTTGGGCTGGACGATTATGAAATCAGCCACCAAAGCATGTATCCAGAAGGCGTGTGGGCTGGAGAGATAAGGCAAAGGGCTGGAGCACATGGTTGGCCTACCAGAGACCCAGCACCCAGATCCACAGCAATGAGTCATGATTGACCACTGAGCACCAGAGGGTGTGGCCCAAACACAAAACCACAAAGGATGCTTGTGTTCACTCCGCAAACATTCACCATGAGACTTGGTCTCCCCACCCGATGGCAAGCTGAGGAATAGATTTGACTCTATCTGACTATAAAAAGAATGTTCCTGAT